AATAATTATAAAATCAATTAATGTACAATTTCATTAAATAATAAACAAGAAGCAGTTTATTGACTAGCTAGATTTTGCATTGATCAATTAATACCTTTTTCAAAGCTTTAATTATGTTTTATTTATACTAAATATTTTTCACTAATTAATATTATATTTAATTTAATTATAATAAAGATAATATATGTGATAAATCTAATAAGTACAATATAGATGATAGATAAAGTATTTTAGCTAAATATAATAAAGATAGTATTTATAGAATGTTGAAAATGTCTGAAATATTTTTTTTAAAGCATTAAAAAATTATGGAATTATAGAATTATAGAATTATGAAATTATAGAATTCTGTTTGTAACAATGTCAAGATGTTGAAAAATCTGAACAACAACACAAATAAATTCATATTGCAATTCTTATTTAACCTTATAATAGTGATGAAACTATATTACAAAAAGAATTAATAGAATTAATATAAGTAATAATAAAGAAGGAAATTCAATATTATCTTTAAATAATTTATCGATTCAAGCAAGTAAAATCTCTGAAAAAACTGATAATAATATTGAAACACTTAATAAAAAGTATTGATTACATATTATTGAGAATTGGATAAATATATTGAATATTAAAAATCATTTAGATAATAGTAAAATTGTAAATAGTAAATTATCTGAATTTGAATTTGAATTGGATAAACGTATTATTCATTCAGCAGATGATTCATTAGCAAAATGAAATTTGTTAGGATTATTTAATAATTTATTAGAAATTCCTGTTGCTTTTACTTTTTAATAAATATTAATAATTCAAGTATTTATATTATAAAATTATAAAAATTTTCAAATGATCCAATAGATCATTTGAATTTTTAAATAATCAATAACCAGTCATTGAATATTGGAATCATTTGGATCATTTCAAGTCATTTATCATCACTATGTTATACTGATATATATCTTAATGATTCTCAAGTGACAATACAAATATAACCTATATAATATCTGATGAATTAACTATAAATACCTCAGGTGTGTGACCTAAAATGCAAAATGTAATACCCTTGAATGTGTTCTAAAAATTGAATTACAACACATGTCTGAGTATATTATAATATAATATAAATAATTTATATTCTCTAAAAGAATATAAACTACTTATATTAAGTAAAATTCTCTTTATAATATTCAAACTCTTTAAATGCACTCTTAAATTTGATTTTTATATATTTTCTGGTAATATGTATTTAGAAATAGTTAATTATATAAATATAATAAAAAAATTTTTCTATAGTCACATTTCTTTATAATTATCCAATTTTGCTTTTTCAAGAATAATATTTTCAGATTCAATAATAATTTGTTCATAAATGTGATTATAATATGGTTTTATTATAAATATGAGTATAAAAATATGATTTTATTATAAATATGATTATAAAAAGATGATTTTATTATATTTATTATAGCTGGTTCTTGAAAGAATGTAACTATAGTAGTTTTTATATAATGTAATTATAATGAATGTAATTAATCGATGCATTGAAGGAAGAATGGCAAAAGTGCCTTTGGATATTGTACGCAATTTAATTTCCAGTATGCCGCGACGAGTTGCAGCTGTTACTAAAGCTAAAGGATTACATACACATTATTAGATTATTAATATTTTTTATGCTATAACTTTTTTCTCTTTCTAAAGCTAGATTACATATACACATTATTAGATTATTAATATTTTTTAGACGAATATTATTCTATAATACTTTTAAAATCGAAAAATTTGCTAACAATGGACGGTGATTTATCGTAGGTCAGTGTACATAATACCGGATAAATTATACTTTATTCTCGACAGATATTGTCTGATGAGTATTGTCATTACCAACGTTTCTCTCGCCAATAGGAAGCGTGAAACACGAATTTACTTTGGTCAACATATTCGCAAGCGTCATATAATACGACAATATTGCTAATACAACTGTATAATTAATTATATAAACAAAAGAAATTAGAACTTTTTTCCCGTTTATAATAAAAACTAGAAATAATAGAGTGGAAATACATTACCACCAATGCCTCCACTAATTTTGGTAAATACCCGCTGTCCAGTGAATTTTCCAAGAACAAGACAAACGTAAACCCAAAACAGTAAGAAAAGAGCGCTGATCATGCAATTATTTGTGCGTTGTGAGCAGATTAACATTATTATCGTGACTATTTGTTTAATGGTAAAATTTAGAAACGAGATTAGCATACACCAATAAGTAAGCAAATAAAAAACTTACAAATTGCCCAAGAAGACAAAAAGATGCCAATCGCATAATCGTATTCTTTAATATCAGTGTAAGCCGCACTTATTCCCGAAGACGGTAACGAAATCAAGCCAAACGACAGCCAGAATGCACCATACGAGCTAAACAATGTGGCCGGCAACGTGTTACCTAAATGCATCTCCCACATGCCCGCGACAAATTGTGTGAATCCGCCGTAAAATAACGCTAGACCAAGACCGACATTTTCGTGTTCGATTCCGCAGACACCGAGATTATAAAACGAAAAGACGAATGTAGTTACGCCGAAGGAAGCTAATCCAAGTGGATGCGGGTTTTCTTGTTTGTCAAAGTGGGTTACTATTCCTGATGTCATTTTTTTTGTTTGGTTTAGAACTTTTGAATATTTCTTTGGTTAGAATGTTACTTCTTTGTATTTAACTATTTTAAAGAAAATGCCAAGGCTGTCTTCCAATCATATTTATATAAAATTTTTTTTGTCTTTGTCTTAACATTAAGAAAATGTGGTGTGAGTTTCGCGTCTATCTGCTACATAAAAAATCTGGTGATGGAGAGGTCATGATTACGTATTTTAGTTATCTCGGTTATCTTTTTCTATTACAAATTGAATGCCATATATCCTTTAATGAAATGCTATATATACAGTGGCGATCAACAAACTATTAAAATTACTTATTCCACAAATAGCTAGTAAAATTTTATATATATAACGATCTTCTTATCAAAATATCAAGTTTGGTGATCTATCATTTCTTGTCCAATTCTGCCACTGCTTAATAAACAAAAACGTCATACAACTCCAAATGAAAGAGCGGAAATTATTATTTCACTTAATAAAGGATACACTACGCGAGATATAGCTAGAGCACGAAATATTAGTGCGTTTACAGTGTCTCGTATATATAAAAAATGGCGTGAAGAACATACGCTTGAAGATGCAAGCAAATCCGGTCGTCCACGTATTCTAAATGAGCGGCAAGAAAGACAGACAGTTCGGTTCATTACTTCTCGTGATTGCTCCACCGCTGTCCAAGTTCGAAATCGTCTCTGTAAAATTGAAAATATCGAAATCTCAGAGCCAACTATTCGTCGTACACTAAACAGAAATGGATTAGTATCAAGAATCAAA